GCCAATAACACAGTTCGCCAAATGACATATTATCTCTCATGTATACACATGTTGGCTTTTCACACCTAAATAACACACCTTCACGAGTGTTTGTAATAATCTCGCCATTAAAATATATAAACAGGAGTACACTCATTTTTTCCTCTATAATGATCTATCCCTCTCTCTATATCTAAAAATTCATATCTACTCACTTGCAACGTCAATGAAGAAAGAACTTGGTATTTATAGGCAAATATTTTAAAAATCGCCAATAGCAACTTTTAAAATTTTTAGATTAATTAATATTATTTAAAAGTTACCAATGGTAATTTTTTATTTTTTTATTCCCAAAAGTTGCCAATGGCAATTTTTTATATTTTTCCTACTTCCAAAAATCGCCAGTGGCAATTTTACATTTATATTTTTTAATTATAGTACTAAAAGTTGCCAATGATAATTTTTGCCATGAATAAATTATTACTATTTTTAAATCTCATCATTGGTGAGTTTTGATTGTGATTTGATATATAAGATAAAAAAATCGTCAATGACGACTTTTATGAAAACTCCATATTTACATAATATAGCAAAAATTCCTATATTTTTTGTATTTTAAAAATAAAAAATCATATAAAAATAAAGTAGCCAATGCTCTACGGCCCCTTCTTAATGAATAAAATCATCAATTAAAGTAAAGTAAATAATAAAAAAAAAGTAATGAAAAGAAAAAATATTTTATTTTTCACTTTTTAAGTTTGGTTAGATTTACTAACCTCATTTTTATTTATGTTGTTTTTTTAGAATTAGTTTGGATACTATTACAAATTTAGATTATTCAAAAATTTAAAACTATAAGACTTAATCCATTTAAATGCAATTCCAAATACTCTACTAAGACTCTTGCTCTTATAATTTATAAGGTACTTTTCATTGATTTTTTAAATATACTGTACTATATTATTAAAATATTTTTGAAAAATAAATTAATAAATTTTCTAAAGCTATTTTTAAATTCAGTATATCTAAAACAGTAAATATTAGAATAATTAATAATAAATAGTCTATTATATTAAAAAATAAAAAATAAATGATATAATTTTTAAAAATTAAAATTAATATTTGAATTAAAAAATACATAATATAAACAAAATTACTTGACATGATAAAAAATGAATTAATTTTTAAACATATTTTTGTTTGAAAATACTCTTATAAAGTTCTCTTTAAAAAATTAGCACTCACAAAATTATATATAGAGGATATTAATTTTTAAACAAAATAATAAAAAATATATTTTATGAGCATTTTAAATTTAGTAAATTTAAAACTATTAAATATTATATTTATTGATGATAATTTTATATCCAAAAATTATTATTAATAAACATTCTATTATATTGAATAAAATTTAAAATAAATTATAAAAAATTAAAATTTTAAATTAAAAGAATAAGTACATAATGTAAAAAGAAAATTACTTGATAGAATGAAAACAATTAAATGTTAAAAATTCTTCCATCTGAAAATATTCTTAAAAACACTTTCATTTCATGAACTAAGAAAAGTAAGTAAATTTAATTAATTTTTTATATTTTAAGAAATATTATTGTTATTTAATATTATTAAACCTAAACTCAGCGCCAACATTTGTTAAACCTAAAATATAATATTCTTATTTAATATTATTTTTTTAAAGAATAAATAAAAAAACTTTATAAAAATTATAAAGTGACTTATTATAAAGACTAATACTTTATAAAAAATCTTATAAAAAATACAAGAGAAAAATAAAAGCAACTATTATTTGACTCTATATTACACCTTACTAAAATTATAATACTTTTTCTAATATTTTTTATTGTTTTTATTTTTCATATAAATATTTTTTAGATATAAATTAAAATAATTGAAAATATAAACTAAAATGGAATTATTTTAAAAGAATTCATACTTAAAAATTTAGATAATAAAATTTAATAATAATACTTCTTAAGAAAAAGTAGACTAAGAAGTGAAATTAATTTTTTAAAATATTATAATTTAATATTATTATATGAATAGTGATAAGATATTTGTGAAATTGAATTGATGGCGGTCGAAGGTAGTAGGTTGCGATTGATGGATCAATCACAAATCCTCTTGCGTAACATTAAACTAGTTAATTTTTTTTAATGGTTTGAACGTATTATGAGATTTAAGTTTGACTTTAAAATGGTCTTATTATGCTTTTGATAATTTAAAATATTAATATTTTTAATTTGATATTTAATTGTTCAAATATTATAATTCAGTTTTCTATATATTTTTTAATTTTTCATACAATATATGTTTGATTTCGTTATAAAAACTATTTTAATAATTAATTATAAATATAATTGATAATTGTTAAAATTAGTTATATAAAATAATTTTTATATTTAAATAAGTTATGTGAAACGTAATTTTAAAATAATCAATCTATTTTGCTTTGCATTGTTTAACACAGGGTTTGACAGAACGAAGGGATTGTGAAGTGACGGAAATAAAGGAATTTTTATAATTCTTTTCATATTGAATTCATTACTTCCAAGAGAAGGAGAGGAAAAGAAGCTAATAAATCTCTTCACTGCATTTTAAATTTTTATAAATTTGGAAAAATATAGAAGAGAGAAACATTTTTAGATTAATTAAATAAATTTATATTTAATTTAATAATTTTAAATATATAATAATGAATTTATCACTCAAAAACTTTTTTTTTTACCTTAAAATCTTTAAATTGAGCATTAATTTTAATCATTTCTTCATCATTTTCCATTATCCTTTCTATACAATCATATAATTCATGTTTAACTTTAAAATTAGTTTTAAAACTAGGACTATAGTGGAAAAAAGGGTTAAGATAAGTTGTAGCATGCAATGACCTATGAAATTGGTTGTTCTATCTTTCATTAATTATATTCCATAGAAAGAGACAACTAATAGATAAAAATAAAATAAAAATAAATTCTCAAGCAAAGATAACTAAAATTTTAAATTCAATTTAATAATTTATTTGCCTTTTTTTTATTATAGTTAAAAGTCTTTATTATCTTTTCTTTAACTTAATCTATTTTCTCATTAAGTAATCTCATAGGTGGTATCTCAACCAAATCAATCAAACGTAACTTTGATTATAGAATATACACCCTTTAAGCAAATAACAACGTCTTTTTAGAAATTAAAAAATGTTCTAACCAATGATCCCTTATACTTCAGAAGGCATCTCAAAGTAAGGTAAAACATAACAAAGCAAATGATAGTTGGTCTCATTAAATCCCTTCCTTTTGTAAATTATTGCAATAAAGAAATTGAGAAGTCCTTGAGCCAATATAAGTAGTAATTTTTTCCCTTTGAGATTGTATCTTGATGAATGGATAACTTCTTCTCCAAATCCTCCAATATCAAATTTAGTGAACAGTACATGGTGTCCAATACAATATCTTCTTTTTCTCCATCAATAATTCACCTGTAACCTTATTATTTGTTGCATTCTCGGTAACAATTTGAACCACATTATCTTCACCAACCTTCTCTACAATGTCATCCATAATCTTAAATAACTTTTCATTTGTTTTAGATATATGAGATGCATCAATTGAAGAAAAAAAAAATTGTACCCATAAGGTTATTCACTAAAAAAATTCAATATAGCCTCCTCTTTTTGTCGATCTAGTCATCCATCATTATGATGTATAATATTTTCCTTCATTTTTATCTATGTACTTCAATAGCTTGCATGGTCAAATTCACATTATGCTTTAAATACTTTATTTTAATTTTATGATAGGAAGGTGGCTTAAAACCAACTTCATAGTTCGCAATTGATTCTAACATATTGTGAAATTCTTCACTTCTTACCCCATTAAATGTTACGGGATTATTATAGAAAAAAGAAATAATATCTTGACGCAGTTCCTTTTTTAAATTCTTTTTGAATATGTTATTAAGAATGACTTAATTACACTATCTTTAACTTCAATCCCTTTTCTTTTTTTATCATAATCATTACCATCACCTTCTACAAGAAGCCCTTTGGAGTTACTATTTGATTTCTTGATTAATTTATTCAATGATAAGGACACAATTTGCCACATTTATTTCTTCACTTCATCACTATCTTTTTGTATTATAGCCAAATGATGTTTTAAATGATAATTTCAATACTTATTATTTTTTGACAATATTTGCATTGTATTTTTCAAGTGTCTCCGTCCACTTATATTTTATATTGCCATGCCACATCACTCTTGTTTCTAGGAGATTTTTTTTTTTTACTGCTACCAACAGAGTTGCCACTGAGCCAGTAGAAATGTTACTAATGGTCAAACTTGGAATTACTCTCTTACTTCCCGGTTGCCCTCTCCCATTTGCAGGTACACCTTTTTCACTTGCAGACATCTTATTAAACAAAGCAAAAATATTGAAATAAAGGCAGAAGAAGCAACACATTGAACCAACCCACTACTCAATAACTCTAGGTCATGGTTGCGTCAAAAAATGATAGAGAAAGAGGCCGTTTGAAAGAGAAAATGATAGAGAATGAAGAGAATAGACTCACAGTGCCGACGATGAAGAGAAACGCAACTCGTAGGTTGTAGAGATGTGAGATTGAAAAGAAGTCTCTGAAAAAAATCCTGAATACTTGGGTTATATAAGTTGGGTCAAAATAAAATAGGCTGATCAAACGAGTTTAACTGAATTTTTTGAAAAAATGGGTTAGAAATCAACTCGTCTGGGAGGAAATCGTGCGATCCCACCAAAAATGAGTCACAGCTTAGGATCGGAATCGCTTGACTGGCAATGAATAATACAAACGTACTATCTTAAGTGTTAATTCGCAATTTTAACTACTATGATTTTGACTACTATTAGAAATGGAAAATCTAAAAGAAATAAAATAAGTGCTTGACATCATTTATCACCACTTAAATACTATTGTAACATCAAAGTTCTACATCACACTTTATTAGCAAGGGACTCAAGTACCCAAACAGATGGTGCTTCTGAGGCCTGAAGAGCTGGCTAGCAAGCTAGTAAACTTAAACCTTGTCATATCAGCATGTCACATATCACTACATATCTCACAAAGACATAGCTTATGATGCTATAAAATATATTTAAAAAAACTCTCAAACCAAACTTATACAATAAAATACAGATCAAGAATAACAAATAACATATACTATGGTGTGCAAGTGCAACAAGACATGTTCCTCTCTTACTCCACACAACAACGGTACATGAAGTACTTCTCCATTTGACGGCCACATTCAGCACACACAACCCTCTGTGGTATGCCACCAGTGCTCCCAGGAAGAATGAGGCGATTGCAATGATGCGGGGTGGTAATTTCCTTAAGGTAATCATTCATTGCTGGCACAAAACCCTCTTGGTCAGACCTATCCTTCCACTTATCAAAGTCTCTCAAACATGATAGAGCAGTGTCACCTTTGGCTCTAGCCATTTCGTTTGCGCCCCTACAGAATATTGCCCACCCTCTATCACTACCATCAAAGCTAAGCACAGTCATCACTTCACTCATGATTTCGTCATTTTCAACGCTCTTTCCATGCTGCAACTTTGAGTACAACATGCTCTCCAACCTTGCCCAGAAGAACCAAATGGATGTGACATTAGGCCAAAAGTAGCTGAACTTTCTTGTGACGAAGGTTTGGATCATTCTCTGCATCCTCTCTTTGGCGTTGCTCTTTCCCACGTATACCATCTCCAATTGGAACCTACCAGCTTTTGCAACACTCAATGCAGTGGTTGTGAACTTTTCAATCCATTCAAGATCTTCACCTCCATACAGGCATATGCATTTTCCATCTGTCATCTGTAACATGGGGCAAGAGAAACTCTATCCATCAAAATATATGAAAAAATGAGATTGATTTGACCTAGGAGAAATTCTTGCGTGGTCCTAAACATGATGTGTCCATGGTCCTAACCAATCCTTATGTGACACTCAGTCAAGTTTTTTAGTTTTACCAAAAATGGTATTAAGACTTGGTCACGTGTCATGTGATGACTGGTCGCAACTATGGACATGTGGTGGTCACGGACTATACAATAGTTTATCCTAATTTAATCCTTGCTGTCTTAAGCATGGATTAGTTTAGCCCTGACTTCATTCACTCTAGTTCTTTTTCATTAACATGACAAAAGTGAATGACATTGTAGAAAATTAGACACAGGTGAGATAGTTTTGTAAAATAAAGGACTAAAAGAGCCTATTCCTACCGTTTTAGGAACTAAAACAAGGGATTTACTTAATTTGGATATATAAATGTTATCTTATTACCCATTCCAAAACTGTTGGATCAATGCCATCAACAAGCAGCTCAAGGCTCCAAATCTCGTTCTTCCACAAGGATTCTTCTTTATCACTTGTAAAGGGGAAGGCCAAATTTCCCCAAATCCATATCATGTGGAGAGCATTTGAGGAAGATAATCTTCCTTGTGGATCAAGGGCCACAAGAATTGGTCTCTTTGAGAAACTCCACACTTCTTTAATATACTTTATCACTGATGGTTCAATGATGAAAGGATCAACAACACTGTACCATACCATCAATGATTGCAAATACTCAAACTTCTGTCTATTCACTTCATTCCAGGTGGCTTTGTCCACAACTGGGATCCATACCATCTCATAGTGAGTCTCACCCCTCGCCCGTGCATCTTTGAACAAATTATCAAGCACCAGAATCTCTTCTTGTGAAATATCAAGATCTGATATGAGCAGCAGCACATGTTTCCTCCTTAGTACCTCTACACTAACCTGCTTGTCAATAAGTTAAGTCAATGTTTTAAACCATGGTATGTAACAATATATATTACATGTTACAAGAATCTAAAATCAAACCCTTGATTTTGCAGTTCCATCAAAAAGTGGAAGAATATCATCCTTTCCATATATCAAAGCTCTGATAATTTTCATGTTGTCAATATGGACCGACTCAAAAAGATGTATCAGATTATGGAAGGCCTCCATATGCCTCTTTTCATCTGCACCAGGTTAAGGATGAAAATGTCAAATATGCTTCATTCTGGGAAAAAAAAATATCATCCTAACAATTATTGAAACTCTCAACATTGTCAAAACCTTTAAATTAGTCCAATGATCTTGAATTCAGGTTACGTATATCCAAATTAATGAATTAAGTTTTTAGTTATAATTTTCAGTAGTGTGCTCACCTATATATTGGTAACAAAGAGCCAGTTGGGTTTTGAGGTGCTCATATATACTGTGGACTTTGTGAGCCAAACTAGACAATTCCCACGCCTCTGAGGCTGATGAAATGGACCTACAATCATCAAAATGAGATCACTTAGTACTATTTGAAAAAATGAATGAGTTAATTGATTCCAGTGATCAAGGGTGCTATGCTTACTCATTTCTCATGCCTATGAGACTACTAATTTGTGAGGAACAAGCCACAATGCTTCGGATGACCCAATAGGCAGCAATAGGAATGTGAGTACTGGCAACAGACATAGGAGGTGTGTCCTCAGAAATATATGCAGATGGTAGCTCCTTGAATTCTACAATGCACATGGTTACATCCAGTGCTGCCTTCACAAGCTTGATGAGTGCATCAAAATGGGGTTTATAGGATGAAGAATTCTCTATAATGTCAGGGAGTTGCTTGAGGAGGGCCACAGACTTGGCAAGTGTATTTTCAACACTTGACTGAGCAACAAGCCAAAACTCTCCAAAAATAACAGCAAAGGCTGCTAAGGTTAACACAACTTTTGCATGCCATGCATAGCTTGACAGGTAATTCAGTAACACCATTGTTGATGCATGTGCATCTCCACCTCCTGAGCACTTGCAAGATAGCTGCCATTGTAGTCACCAAGTGCTCCTTAATAACTTTCTAAATTGTTTTAAAATTTGATCGAAATAAACACCAAATACTTTAACATATTCAGAATAATTTGGTCAGGTAAATAGTCTCCGAAAGGGAAAACCATAGGCTGTAGTTTTATGTACTAGCAGCCCCAAAGGCAGATGAATGCCACCTAAATGTGTTTTCATACATTAATGCTCGTGAGTTTTGGTGATACTTAAAAAAAATTGTGCACCTTATAACATCAAAAAATAATTTTTTTTTCTCATCCCTGTACACTTGGATGGGAAGAGAGAGATAAAAAAACAGAAAGTAATACAAAATGTTTCCTTCACACTCATTAAATAAGCGTTAAATAGGTGGAGGGATGAGAGAGATATAAAGGAAAAAAAAAAAGAGAAAGAGAGTCTGAGATGTGATAGAAAAGAAAGAGAGATAAAAGGAAAGAGGGATTAAAAATGGATGGAAGAGAAAATATAGCAGTTGAAAGTAATAGATGTGATGAAAAAGTAAAAAAGAAATAAAAGTAAGCGTAAAGTTGGTTTTATAACTGAGTGTTTAAAAATCAAGGTTGGAAATGGTTTACCACTGCCGTCAGAATGAAAAATAAGTGGATATTCTATGTAGGACTAAAATAAGGAAGGGAAAAACTTTTTTCAACAGCGACACATTTGGTATAATGGGAAACACATTTTATCCTCAACAACAGCAAAAAATGGTAGTAACTAACATAAAAGTAGAGATTTTCACACAAAAACAACCTCGCACGAAATTTTGTTTATGATAAAAGCCAGCGAGTCAAGCATGTCATATTCAGCCAGAGCAGCAGACATCTCCAATGTGTCTTGGTCTCGTTTAACCTACCAAACAAATAAATTAATAACTAGTTAAGCATTGATCACGTACGTGCATGCAAAGCAAATAGGGACACAACAAGATTACATATTATATAAACATGATTACATTATAAATGGATTTACCTCATGACCCTCAACACTTCGGGCAATGAATTGAATCAATATTTCATCAACGATTTGGAGAATGGGTTTGACATCAATTTCACGACCATCAGGAGCATGAGTGGCTTGAACTTGCTTCATCATGGCACTATCATCAGATGTAGAGAACATGCGTCGCTCCTTCCTTGGCTGCATCTTCGCAGGGATGGCCGGTAACGCGCGAGCGTGGCCACTCATGTTAAGTAGTTAATACTTACTCAAAGGCTAAAAGGCAACTCAGAACACAATAGGAGGTAAAGTGTTCGGCTTGACTATACGTGGTTGTACTTGTAACTCATATCATATATAGCCAGAGGAAGTGGAATAAAGCTTTGTTTTCGACATGTTCCTTGCTTGCAGCAGGGTATAAAACAAAAGCTAAAGCAATTTTCAAATCCTATTTGGGATAAGAATACACATCATTTAGCTATGGTGGCCCCTGCCTGTAATTTACTCCACACGCATACTCATATACACACTAAGGGAACATTTTCTTTTTTCTAATTCATAACATAGTTAGCATAAACATTGGTTTAAGATAAGAAAAAAAGAAAAAAGAAAAGTGAGACTTGGCGCTTTCTGACATCAGATTGGCCAAGTCATTAGGCTTAATTATCTTAGTTCTTCTGATTAGTATTAAAGAATTTAATTTAGTATTGCACATCAATCGTTCCATTGCCTGCTCTGTTGACGATAATTAAACCACAAACTCATCTCAAACAGATAATGGCACCAACATTTGCTTGTTTTTAAATTACCAAGGTTTATATACTTTGCCAACTTTTTAACTAAATTTTTATATTTCTAAACTTTTGTTTTGTTTTTTTGGTCATTCTAAAATTTGTTTTTATAGTGATGTTAGCATGACGTTTTGCATGACCAAAATATTTCTCTTTCTTCTGTTTGTTTTCTTGTTCAATCCTAGCCAATTTGAAATATATATTTTTAAAACAATGGTTTCCTAGTTATTTACTTGGTTTATCATTTTAGACTCATGCTGATAACATTACTACAAATTTCTAATTTAGGGATATCATTTAAGACTCACGTTAAGTTTTGGATTTCGTCCTTACAATGCTTGTTGTGTACTGCGTTCCTTTTCATGAGGGCATATAATAAAACTCTTTGATATTTTAATTTTCAATAACTCTTAGAAGAAATTTCTTTCTACGAACAATATAGCTGCATTTTGAGTGATGCAATCCTGTAGAGAGTGTGCAGTGCAATGCTAGTAAAAACGAGGGATGTTGCAGAATGGAAAATTCTTCAAATTTTAACACTCACTTTTATAGAAGGAACGCTAGTAATACACTTTCTACTATACTTTTTATTGATTAAAATTTATTAAAAATTAAAAAATATAAGAGTAAAACATAATTTAGGAGTGAAAAAAAGTGATACTCACATAATTTGTATAATTTTCAATAAATTTTAGTTAATAATAAAGAATGTATTACTAGCATCACTGAACTATGAACTTTTCTATATTAAATGCCAGTATATGTGCTTAAAAGGAATATTGTTGCAAAAGAATATAATGGACGGCAATTGCAAAGAATGGAAAAGGTGTGATGTAAAAATGAGAAAACGGTGGGGAGAAAAGAATGAGAACTTGACCAAAAAAAAATAAAAAATAGAGAATGAGAAGAGTAGTACACACAAATTGTACGCTTTCTTGTATAAATATAATTTTGTAATATGAAATATGTCATGCCAATAATATCTATTGTAACTCTTAATTACAATATGTATGTTAGGGACTTAATAATGAAATTTTAATTACTGGAGAATTTAATGTAAATAAATATATTGGGAATTCTAATCTTCTCAGGATTATTCAAATGTGAGATAATTCAGAGTCAAAAAGAATGGAAACAAAAAACTAAGGTTGGGTGCGGATTATAAAGGTTAAAACAATTTAAAAAATTTCTAATGCAGAATTGATTAAAAATAAGCCATTTTATACTTGAATCATTTTATTTTGTTTAAACACCATAATTTTTCTCTCTCTTCAGATGATTCACAAGTACTTTGAAAAATGAATATAACTTTAATAAAATACGTCTTAAAAGAAAATTCTGAAAGAGAATTTTATTTCTATTTGTGAGATTTTTATTTATATATAGATATTACTAATTTGATAAAGTCTGATCCAGTTCTCTAATTTATTAAGTATTGAAGAGAATGAGATCTTTTTTATTAAAAATTTTAAGGTGGGAAAGTTAGCACATTGCCTCAAAACAAAGTTCACTAAATACTTGTAATGATACTTATAAGTGGCTTGCAAATTATTGATATGAATTTAATTTAAAACTTATTTTTTATAATGGATAGGTAATGAAATACGAGTGTTAAAACATTTAAAACACATATTTATAAAATATAATTTTAAATTTTTTAAGATTTATTTTTGTTTTAATTATACTTTATTTCAAAAAATTAAATTTAAGTTGTACAGAATTAAAAGGTAACAGAGAACACAATAGGAGGGAAAGTGTTTGGCTTGAGTATATATGGTTGTACTTGTAACTCATGTATAGCCAGAGGAAGTGGAATAAAGCATAGTTTTGAACAAGTTCCTTGCTTGCAGGAGGGTATAAACAAAAAGCTAAAGCAATCTCCGATCCTTTTAAAAATAAGAATACACATGATTTAGCTATGGTGGTCCCTGCCTGTAATCTACTTCACACACATAGTCATAGACACACACAAAGGGAACATTTTTTTTACCTAATTCATAACAATGCTTGCATAAACATTGGTTTGAGATAAGAAAAAAAAGGTAAAAGAAAAGTGGGACCTGGCTCTTTCTGATGACATCAGATAGGCCAAGTCATTAGGCTTATCTCAGTTCTTCTGTTTAATTAATTAATCATCATTTTTTTATATTTTTCTATAGGAAAGTGAGTATCATAGGACATATATATAATAAAACTCTCTTAAGACACTAATTCCTATCACATCGTGCCTACCTACCAAGGATGCGTTTGATTTTCCAAATTAAAGTTGAGTTGAAATCAAAGGGAAAAAGAAAGTTGGGTGGGGGTAAATTAGTGAAAGAAGTCCTAGGTTCAGCTAAAGTTTTTAAAGAATTTTGATCCCATGCTAAGCATATCAGTGTTAAAGAGTGTGAAAAATGTTAACAATACATTTTTTAAACACACTTTAAGTTATTAAATAAAATTTGTTAAAAAAATATATATAAAAATTATGTGAATATCACCTTTAATTAATGTAGATTCCTGAAATTCTTCATTGGGTGCAGATAAATAGTAGATGTGGTATCTCAGTTCTTTCTATATGTATATATAACTATATGAAGAAAAAAGAATTACAACTAAACAAAATACTGCAACTACTATATATGGTTGGCTTGTCGGGCTTTTTAAACCCAATCTTTATATTTATATATATCCAAATGCAAATATTTTTTAAATACATTTACGTAATAATTATTTTAAATCTAAACAATCAATGGTGCAATATATCATATTTTCCTAAATAATTTTGTTAAAGAATGTAAACTGTGTGCAGTTAGAAAGAGAAGTTTAAATCCTTTCATATTTCAATATAAAAATGTACTCATGCAAAAGTGTGTGAAAGAAGATTCTTTTTCAATGGTAGCAGAGACTCTTCATTGAGTATAAATAGTCAAACTCATTATTTTTATTATAAGTTTAATAAATAATATCTACTACTGTGATGACAATTTTACCTTCATCTTTCATGATTGTATACTTTAAATAATTAATACTAGTCCACAAAGTAAAAAGAAATCATTTTGATAATCAGAAACCAGCCTTATTGAGGGGAACAAGAAGTTACAAAAGGGAAAAAGAAAACTATGGGCTAGAAATAGCCATCTTTCCATGCTGTTTTCTAAAAGATTTTTTATTTATTTACTTTTAAAAAGCAAATACAGCCTCGAAGAATCTTGCCTATTTTATAGTATTATTATCCAATATGAGAAGCGAATTAGATGTACTATTTGTCTATTTTAAAGGACAATTTCTTTTTGTTATATCAGCAACGAAGGTGTTGCCTTTGAATGCATGTGACCATGTCAAAGGCTTTAGTGTTGATAATGACTGAAGAGGAACTCAAGGTAAAAATACTCGTACTAGAAAAATAAAAGGGTAAAAATACTCGTATAGAAATCGAAGTGTATCTTTTTCTTTTAAAAAAATGAAAGTCAAGGATAGGTTCCTTATATGTTGGTCAAGGATGTCACAATTGTAGGCATATAATTACCATGCAATCCTTCAAAGCTGTTCATACGAACTCCATGCATGCAGTCTCCATCATAAAAATGAAAACTGTGAATGAGGTCTCCATGTACTCACGCAAGACACTTTCTTAAGGAAAATATTAGTTTACACTCAATTTTATAGTTTGAAACGAGTGAAGAAAAAGTAAGATAGAAAAAACAAAACAAAAGACATGATAAATAATATAATAGAAAAAAAGATAAAAAGAAAAAGAAAAAAAGGATAAAGGAAGCATGTAAGAGAATAAGTATGAAAATATAAGAGTTGCTTGTTAAATTTGACCATAGCAGTCCTAAACAATGTACAACATTTACACTCAAGTTATTAAAACTAGTAATTTTTATGTATTTAGACTCAACTTATTGTTCGACTATTTAAAAATTTAATAAATTTTAAAAAGGAAATATTACAATTATCAATAATAAATATTTAATATATTAAATAAATGGATAAAATTTAAATAAAAAATAAATTATAAAAATGTAAATTAAAATATATGCTTAATATATAAAAAAACTATTTAATTTGATGAGAAATAAAAATAATTTGTGTGTGTGTGTGTGTAGAGGTGAATCAGTGTGTGATTTTGATTTGCTAAGTTTTTTTTTGTATAAAGTTAATTAAGTTTCTTCATTTGTATAATTATATAAATTTGGTGTCACTATTGAATTTTTTTCTATTTAAAATCCTCAAGTTTTTTTTAATCCAAATTCTTGGGGGATTATTAATTAGAATATGAAATTGCTTTAAAGTTTACGTAAAAAAATTAATGAAACTTGATAAATTTTAAATAAATTTAGAAAATGTGACATTAGGTTTTGAAGAGACATTTTTTTAGTGAAATTTAATGTTTTCGTTAGTTAGTTATAAAAAGAAAACGATTTTATCATATCAAATTACAAAAATTGAGTGAAAAATGAGAATGTCGAAAAAATGACAAAATATCATATTTACTAAATTTTAAAAGTAGAGGATAATTA